GATGGCATCTATTGTGAAACTAGGCCAACTGACACAATTCCCAAATCAACCAGTAATCCATAAAAGTCATTTTTGAGCTATTAAGTAACAAAATTCTTATAACGTAAGTCAAAATAATCAGTGTGGAAGAAAATAACACAAACCCAACATTGGGGTGTCATATGTCACGAGCAAGTACAAGATCTGTCTAAGTACAATAAAGTCTAACAAAGTTTGGAACACAATACTAATAAAATCTAGGGAAGATATGAGGGAGAAGAACAGGGATGCAAACGCCATGCAGCTACCTTTTTAACTCCGAGACCTGCTGAATGAACGATCAACGCTCGCTATCAAGACCCGCAACTCCTGGATCTGCACACAAGGAGCAGAAAGTGATGTGAGTACGCAAACTTAGTAAGTAATAAAAGTAAATGAAAGCTGAGCAGTAAGAAAACAGATAATTCCATGTCATAGCACCACAACAAATACAATACATTTCCAAAACAATACCGAAATCAATCATCTCGTAAAACAAATTCAGTTTCAGTAAAACATTTTCTTTTTTTAAAAAAATATCTTTCAATAGCTTCAAACAAATGATGAAACAATGAGTAAAAATGATAGAAACGTAACCAGCCTCTCGGGTAAGACATGTACCATAAACCGCCCCTCGGGCAAAAATATTAACAGAACCAGCCCCTCGGTCTACCTCATAATCGCTCGTTGTCAGCCCCTCGGGCAATAACATGAATCAACAACAGCCCCTCGAGCAACATCACATCACTCACACTGGGTACCCGCGCTCACTGGGGGTGTTCAGACTCCGGAGAGGCTCCTACAACCCAAGCGCTATCACAAGCCATCTCGTGGCATAATAAATCAGGCCCTCGGCCTCTCATATATCACAAATTAGTACATGTTGCGCCGTGCAGCCCAATCCTATGATATCCTCACAACACAGGCTCTCGGCCTCACTCAGTCAAAAACCTCTCAAGCCACTCGGACTAATAGTAAAACAGGGTGCTCAGCTCGAAATATCATTTTAATATCAAAACTGAGTAATAGAACTGGGTTATGAAAATAGTAAACCACGGCATGACTGAGTACAAATATTAAATCAACACAGTGAGGAATAGTAGTAAAAAAAGCCCCTAAGAGTCCAAACACAATGGTACAAGGCCCAAAATATGACATTCAGTTCAAAACATAGTAATACTTTTCAAAACACAATGATATCAAATAGTTTTTGGTTAAATACGCGACTTAATAGTCGTACGAGACGGACCAAGTCACAATCCCCAATGGTGCACGCCTCCATGCTCGTCATCTAGCGTGTGCGTCACCTCAAAGTAGTGAAACGATGTTAAATCTGGGGTTTCATACCCTCAGGACAACATTTACAATCATTATTTACCTCAAACTAGTCCAAACTCTAGCCCACGATGCCTTTGCCTCTCGACTCGGCCTCCGAATGCTCCAAATCTAACCAAAATCAGTATCATACCATTAATACGCGCTAAAGGAATAAAGCCCAAGCAAAAATAATCAAACTAACTCAAAAATTCTAAAATTGGCCAAACCCGACCCCTGGGCCCACGTCTCAGAATTTGATAAAAATTACATCAATAGAATACTTATCCTCCCTTGACTCTATACATACCAAATCCATCGAAATCGGACCTCAAATGGCCCCTCAAATCCCCACTCAAAGCTCTCTAAAAACTCAAGCCCTAGCCTTCAATTTTAACCCTTGAATCCCACTAATTTCATGTCTAATCAATTAGAAATCACCACAGAATCGAGTATTGAGTTCAAAAACCTTACCTCCAAGTGTTACCCTTCGAATCCCTCTTCAAATACTCTCAAAAAGCTCCAAGTCCGAACATATATGGTGGAAAAATGACCAAATTTCGCGAAGGCAAGAATTTATATGTTTTGCCCCGGGGTCCCACATCTGCGGTCCAGATACCGCATCTACGGAACCCGCACCTGCGACCAAACGTCCGCATCTGCGGAACTTCACTTAATACCCTATCCACACATGCGATCAATACACTGCACCTGCGGGCTCGCTGGTGCGACTCACCTTCCGCATCTGCGGAACTTCACTTAATCCCCTATCCACACATGCGATCAATACACCGCACCTGCGGGCTCGCTGGTGCGACTCACCTTCCGCATCTGCAGTGCATCCCCAGCCAACCAACCTCCGCTCCTGCAATCAAAATGCCACTTTTGCGGCTCGCACCTGCGGTCCCCAATCCGCAGGTGCGGTTATGACAGAAAAACAGCAGCTTCAACTGCAACTCCATTTTCCAACTCTCCGATAGCCTGTCGAAATCATCCCGAGGCCCTCGGGACCTCAACCAAACCTACGAACAAGTCATATACCACTATCCAAACTTGTTCCAACCCCCGGAATACTAGAAACAACGTCGAAACATCAAATCACCCTCGCATTCAAGCCTAAGGATTCCAAAACTTCCGAATTCCGCAAACAACGCCAAAACCTATCAAACCTCATCCGAATTACCTGAAATTTTGCACACACATCAAAAATGACACAACAGACCTACCCCAACTTCCGGAATTCCAATCCGACCCCGATATCAAGTTTTCCACTGCCGACCGAAAAATAACAAAATTCTAATTTTGCTAATTTAAGCCTAAATCTACCGCGGACCTCCAAATTACATTTTGAACACGCTCTTAAGTCCAAAATCACCTAACGGAGCTATCCGAACCATTAGAATTCACATCTGAGACTTTCTACACCTAAGTCAATATCCGGTTGACTTTTCCAACTTAAGCCTACTCAAAAGAGACTAAGTGTCTCATTCCACTCTAAGACCACTCCGAACATAACACAACTAACGCGATATGATGAAATACAGCTGAACAACACACAAGGAAGCAAAAATGGAAGAAACAGAGCGGTAACTCATGAAACGACTGCTCGGGTCATTACATGGATAGTCCCAACACCTTAAAGTATAAAGCTAGTGAGGGGGCAAAATTTTTTATAATGTCATGCATAAATTATATAGAGACGTGCTCTTTTGTGGTGGATGCAATCACTTTCAGGTTTTAGTTTGGCAATATATAAAAATTTGATACGCGTAAAAAAATTCTTGAAGGATTTAAATTGTTTTGAAACATATAAAGATTCTCAGGAAATTTATTAAATAAAATTTCAGCAAATCCTTATATGGGTTAAAGCAATCATGGCGTACATGATTTGTATCTTAGTATAAATAGTGCACTTATATATCTTGCTAGAACCATGAGTATAACAAATATGCTAGAGAGATAGTTTGACTCCTATGTAAAGATATGAGAATGCGATTAATACCGTATTGCAAAAGAATCATTTATATAAATGTTTATCCTAACAAATATTGCCAATGTTTTATTGGTTATGCAAATGCAAGACATTGCGTAAAGTTTGTTTTTCAAAAAATCTATTTGCATGTGAGGGTAATTTGATATTATGATATTCTACAAGCCACTCAAGTCATGCCAAGATACTAAAAGCATGTGGCGCAACACACAAGAGATGAGTGGATTTTATTTGAAAAGAAGATATTAATGATATTAAAAACAATGCTGCTTGCATAGTTCAATTAAAAGAAGGATACATCGAAGGAGATAAAATAAAACGCATCTCACCAACGTTTATTTTCAGACACGATCTTCAAAAAACATGGTGGAATAGATTTTCAACAAATTTGTTTAAGTGATAATTTGGTGGAATATTTCGCTAAGGCATTGCCAATTTCAATAGTTAAAAGGCAACACACGATTGAAATTCATCGTCTTCGAGATATTAAATGATGTTTTCATCAGAGGGGAGTAAAATATACATTGCACTCATTTTTACTTAGCCAAAGTTCTGTTCCACTGAATTTTTTTCTGATAAAGTTTTAATAAGATAGCTAACAATGCATATTATTGGATGTATGTACTTTTTTTCCTTCACTAGAATATTTTTTTCACAAAATTTTTTTACCAGTAAGGTTTTAATGAGCCATAATATCTATTATCTAGTGGTGACAAAATAGACAAAAAGACAGTTATCCAACCATATTATCCGCTAAAATGCGTTGGATAATGAACTTTTAAGAAACGGGTCAAATATGGATAAGAACTATATTATTCACTTAGAAAATAGATAACCAATAAATAACCAATAGATAACTAATGGGTTTAACTTTTACATTTATAAAGACTCAAATTGGGAATTTCTCAAATTTAGGAGACTAGAAATTCCCCAAAAAGTGATCATATTCAAGAAGCCATGGATAATATGGATATCTGTATTATCTATCGGTTAATCCATTTTCTATCTGTATTAAATATGGGTCAGGTCAGATAATATATCCATTTTGTATTACCCATTTTCAACCCGCCAATTATCCGACCCGACTTGCCCGTTTACTCCTACTATTATATATGCATATTTAGGAGGGAGTGTTATGAAATATTGTCATACACCTACTATTCTTCTCTAAGATATAGTTAACTCCCACTACCTTCTCACAATTATGATTGTAACTTTCACACCTTATAACTTCCCAATGATCTTAATGGTAATATCATGTTCATGACACTCTTTGGAGTTACTCATGTAAGCCGATAAATAGAGGTATTGACAATTATGTTGTACAACTTGAACGCTTGGAGGAAATAAGAAAACTCTCCTCAATTGTCTCTCTATATTTGTTGCTTTTTTTTGTATTATTACATTTTGAGCTTAATTTTTATTAATTACTAATTAATTGTTATTATATAGATTAATTTGACATTATCTTATAGGCAATCTGATATGTGTAAATAATTTATACACATAATTTATGCCTACATTTTCTTAAAGAAACAATTTTTTTTATATAGGAATGAAAAAGAGAAAAGAGAACTTGAGAATCCCTCCTAGCATTATGTTTTTGCGTGTGTGTGTGTTAGCACTTTAACCTATTTCTTTAATAAAAATTTTCCAAAAAGCCACAAAAAAAGAAAAAAGAAAAAGAGAACGTGAGAATCCCTCCTGCTCCTAGCATTTTCCTTGATCTATCTATCATCCATCCAATTTCTTTATTACTCTCTCAACTTTTACTGCCTATAAATCTTACCCCCACTCTTTCTTCTCTCTATTTGTGCTGATGTATTTAACTTGACCAATACAGAACCCTAATCATCCGCTTCTATCATTTTCTTCTTTGCTTAATCAAAATTCATCTCCGATTTGATCGAATATACAATAGTAGCAGCAGCAGCAGCAGCAAAAAATGGATGAAGAATATGATGTGATTGTGCTCGGCACAGGTCTTAAGGAATGCATCCTTAGCGGTCTTCTATCCGTTGATGGTCTTAAGGTATATTAATTATTGAATTTTTGCCAGATCGGTATTCCTTTTATTAGATCTTCCAATTTATTTTTAATCCCTTAGTTGTTGTTTTTTTGTTCGTAATATGTAATTAGTAACTTTTGTTAAGGATCTGACAACTCTGACATTTTATGATGCAAAGATTGATTTGTATTATATCTGATTTGACCCTTTTCTCAATGATCTTCATTGTCAAGATAACTTAATTGTAAGTTTTATACACTGATAGAGTGGAATATTTTTACATTATCGGTGTAAGCTAACCTGTAATTGTAGGTTAGCTAACCAGTTAATGTATATTATAAATATTTCGGTGCAATTATGTTAAGAGTTATAAGTGATCTGATTATATAAGTATCTTTTGCACTGCATATAGAACTTAAACTCTTAAACTAAAGACAATCATTTCACTTGGTAATATGCCATATGAGTATTATTATCTAACACTATCATTCTAAAAGCTACCTTGGCCTACTAGGTCATGAGTATTAAATTGAAAGAATTACAAGAAAATACATATGACTTCACACCATAACAAAAAATGGTCTATGTTTTTAAGTTTTACCCTACCTAGCCCATATTGTACATGAAAGCATTAGCAAATTCAAAATATGTGTTCTTATAACCATTGCTTCTAAAAGCTATAGAGTTAAATCTCACAACCATTGCTTTCACTCTCTCTTCTTCTTCTTACATCTTCTACATATGCTTCAAGGGGCCGTGTATTTTCTGCTTCTCCCCCTGTTTGCAATGTCAGAAAATTGAAGAGTAGAAGTCCACCATTGAAGGCCATTCAAAGTTTTGCTTTCGAAAATAGGATTTTTTGAGTTTATTAGTTGTTTGGATAGGACGTTGTTCCAATTGATTGAAAATATCAAAAGGAGTTCAAATTTTAAATTTGAAATGATTTGGAGTAGATTTGAGCAAGATTTGAGTTAAATTTCAGAGAAAACGCAAGGTAGAAGACGAAGTCAGTTTTTTGTATAATCTTGTATAATAGTGTATATGAGTGTATAAACACATCTTATACACTTTTATACACCTTTATACAAGCGTCTGTAGATGAACTTCTTCCACGATTTTCAGTTACAATTCTTGTTCAAAACCAGTCCAAATCTCCATTAAATGACTTCAAATTTTATATATAACCTCCTTATACTATTTCTAACAAGTCTAAATAACACCCACTCTAAATTTCTTACAAAATCAAATTCGAAATTTGAACCCACATATTTTAGCTTGTTAAAAATCTAATTTTCACCACCCAAATAGATTTGGTTTGTTGAACTAATATTTGAGTCACAGTTACTGATTCAAAAATTAACTTAAAAGCTTGAGCAATCTTTTTTAAAAATTAAATAGTAATTTCGAGAATCCGTTGGAGTTGAATGTTGGGTATTAGCCTATTATTTTTGGCTAGTTGGTTGTAAATTGAAATATGAGCTATAAAGTTGAAAAGTAGGGAGCCTAGTTGTTTTTATGTGAAATTTTCCCAGTTAATTTGAGCTATGCGAGTATAAATTGGAGATACAATTAATTGGACGCGATTATGCGGACAAGCTTCCTGTCCTAGAACCTGTGCACATATGTTACAGGTTTAATATTTTGAGTTTATGTACCTACAAATGCAAGAGAGTAATCAACTTTAGCCCTGGGGCTTTGGTTTAATGGTAAGAGGCCAACACGTGATGTGTGGGTTAGGCGCTCGTCATGGGTAGGAATCCTGTTGGGGACAAAAGCCTAGTATTTAAGCGGAGAAGGTAGAGGGGCAGACCCATTACATTTCGAGTTTCAAACCGTGTGCCAATGGTCTGCGAGATTTCTCTCTTATCAAGAAAAGAGAGTAATCAACTTTACCTGTGGATTGGGTGGTAGAATTTTGATCGAGTCAATATTTGGTTGAAAGAAAAGAAAAAAGGAAAGAATATGTTCTTGGTACAAGGGCCATGGAATATGGATTTCAACTTAAACATGCTTAACATTCTTTTTTGATTTACTTCAGTTGTCTAATGATTGAGTAAGGCTTATTTCATGTTAATAGGTTCTGCACATGGACAGAAATGACTATTATGGAGGAGAATCAACTTCCCTCAATCTTGTCCAGGTAGTTTTCTGCAAATCGAGCTTGATTTATTTGTTCTATATGTTTCTCCTATTTGTCTGATAAAGAGTTATTATGTTTCAGCTTTGGAAGAGGTTTAGAGGAAGCGACAAACCTCCAGCTGAATTGGGTTCTAGCAGGGATTTTAATGTTGACATGATCCCTAAGGTTTTCCCCTTTTTCTTTTGCCCATCTACTTCATGGAAACAAAACCTTCCATTATTTGTGATGTTCTAAATCGTTCTTTGGAGCAGTTTATTATGGCAAATGGTGCTCTTGTGCGGGTGCTAATTCATACCGATGTTACCAAATATTTATACTTTAAAGCAGTTGATGGCAGCTTTGTGTATAACAAAGGAAAGGTATAGTTGTTTTTCATGGATATAGTCTTTCACCTGATTGGTGCAATTGCGACATGTTGAATTTTAGAAATTGTTTGGATAACTTTGTTCTAACTTAGAATATTGTTACACCTTATGAAATAGGTCCACAAGGTGCCAGCTACTGATATGGAGGCACTTAAATCTCCTCTGATGGGCATTTTTGAGAAGCGGCGTGCTCGGAAATTCTTTATTTATGTTCAAGATTATAATGAAAGCGATCCTAAAACACATGAAGGGATGGATCTAACTAGAGTTACCACCAGAGAGCTTATTGCGTATGCTCTTAATTTTTAGCTTTCTATTTGGTGTTCAGTTTCCATAGGTTAATTTAGATGCATTTTCATATAATATAAATTCCTGGTCTGATTTCCTCGTGTGCCTATTATCATACTTATTAACATGTTCGATTGAGGGGCATCTGCAAAAGAATTAGTCTTGCTTATAGTTATGTGATAATTTTACAGAAAATACGGTCTTGATGACAACACTGTGGACTTCATTGGTCATGCATTGGCACTGCACAGAGATGACCGCTACTTAGATGAACCAGCACAGGATACTGTGAAAAGAATGAAGGTGAAACACATTCTTTTGCTTTTGAATTCTCCTGCTAATGTTGTTCAAGGTTTCTGTGTGGATATGTGAAGTTTTTGTTCTCTATAATATGACAGCTATATGCTGAGTCTCTTGCTCGTTTCCAAGGAGGATCACCATATATTTATCCTTTGTATGGATTAGGAGAGCTCCCCCAGGTACTACTTTGAGTTCATCATTAGATTTCTTGTCTTCTTTTAGTGATTTTTTAGTTTCCCTCGTGTTAATATTTTGTACTTTCCAACTTCTTGTTCTTTAATATTACTGTTGTTAATATTTGTTCTGCTAACATAGGCATTTGCTCGACTGAGTGCTGTGTATGGTGGGACCTACATGTTGAATAAACCTGAATGCAAGGTAGTATCTCCGCTCTGTATCTTATATATATATATCTGTGTGATTATGAGTCCTCTGAAGATAACCCTCAGGGGTTGGCCTGGTGGCAATTGACTTGAGCCTTGGGGTTTGCTCCCTTTCAAGGTCTCAAGTTCGAAACCCACTGGGTGCAAACAATTTCTGAGGGCCATCGGACTGGGTAAAACCTGAATTAACCGTGGTGCACTTGCGGGAAACTCCTTTCCGAGGGCCTGTGCACCCCCGGGAATAGTCGGGGCTCGAAAAGACTCGGACACCCGGTGCAAATAAAAAAAAAAAGTCCTCTGAAGATGCTATCTTAAAATGTCAGGTAGAGTTTGATGAAGAAGGAAAGGTCTGTGGTGTTACTTCAGAAGGGGAAACTGCAAAATGCAAGAAAGTTGTATGCGATCCTTCCTACTTGCCCAACAAGGTAAGTGTTTTACTACCTGTGCGCTTAACTGCTCCGTTGCCGATAATTTGAATAGGTTTCTGGATCTGTAATAGCCAGCATGATCTTTCTTTGAGTGTAAATAAGGATAGATCATTGATACATGATATACAATGTTTCCTAGAACTAGATTTTACTTGGTTATAAGTGAAAGTAGAAAACTTTTTGTTGTGAGGATAAGTGACCTGTTTATTTAAGTGGTCGGATGAGTTACTAACTCCAAGGCATGCTGCTATTTGCAGGTGAGGAAGGTTGGCAAAGTTGCAAGAGCTATCGCGATTATGAGCCACCCAATTCCAAATACCAACGACTCTCACTCTGTGCAGATTATCCTACCTCAGAAGCAGTTGGGTCGCAAATCAGACATGTAAGTATCCTAGTATGTTAGATATTAAAATTTTACTTATATTCTCAGGGTTGAGCTGGAAATTCCGAATCAATTGCAAATAGAGTTTGTGTTGGCCTTTGAAAGCCTGCTCATTTGTTCAATTAAACATGCATATGTGACAACTTGATTCTTACTTGAGTAGTGAAAACCATTTTTTCGTGAAAGCCTATTCAATGGCGTTACGTTCATTTAATAAAAGATTGTTTGTTTCACAATTTGCACAAATAGAACTATCTTTTTATATTTCATTTAATTATTTTTCCTTATTTTGCGCAATCTTACGTTTTCAAAAATGCCCCTCCCTCGTTCAAGATTCACTTGGAGGCAGCAAAAATTCCATATGTGGCACTTTTAGTTCTCTGCACTACCTCTGATTCTGTTGGTGGAGGCGGTGGGGTGTTGTTGTGGCACTTGACATGTGTTTTTAAATAAGTTCAAGCTGTGTCTCAGTCTTTAGATGGGTTGGTTTCAGAATTGGTAAACTTTTTGTATGGAGTATGCCAACCGGACTGTTATTTGAAGATGTTGACCTAGTTAATTAATATTTTACTGGGTTTTGAGGGCTGGATGCTTTCCTTGAAAGGCTTGGTCCAACGCTGTCGCTCGATTCAGGCTTGTTTTGCCGAAAACTCTTAGAATTTAGAACTAAAGTTGTCTTACTTATGCTTGAACATTTGGTTCTTCAGGTACCTGTTCTGCTGTTCTTACACTCATAATGTTGCTCCAAAGGGGAAATTCATCGCATTTGTCTCAACAGAGGCAGAAACTGATAACCCAGAGAGTGAACTGAAGCAGGGCGTCAATCTTCTAGGGCCAGTGGATGAGATCTTCTATGAAACTTATGACAGATCTGAACCTGTCAATGAGCCCTCCTTGGACAATTGTTTTATTTCAACTGTGAGTCTTAAATTTTACTTTGAAAATCATACTTATTCAGAAAGATAATCTATCATCAATTTACTTTATTCTCTATTTTGACAGAGCTATGATGCCACAACTCACTTTGAGTCGACTGTAGATGATGTGCTCAATTTGTACACCAAAATAACTGGAAAGGTATGAGTTAGTATTTACCTCAGTTTGGTCTTTCCACTACATACTCTGGAGATTACTAGGACAGATCTTATTGTCATTGCCAATAGCTTCTGTTTTGCCTACAAACCCTTGAAACTTTGAATTTCCAAAATATTAGTTTATACTTGTGAAACGTGGCTAAAACATTTTACCATTTTACTGTCTGAACACGCACTGTCTGAGAAGTATGTTTTGCTATTATTAGATGTTACATTGCGAACTTTTACTTCCTTAAACCATTTTTTTGTGATATTACATTTTAGTTTTTTCTGAGTTTTGCTGTTCTCTCTAAGAGCCTTGAAGTACCTCTGAGTAAGTCCTTTTACTGTTGAAAAGAATACCTTTAGAAGGAAGGAGTAAATGGAAAGAAGAAAAGAATACTATTTTCATAAAGTAGACACTCATTTTGCACATCCAGACAAGGAACAAGTTGCTCTGTCCCAAAAACCCTTGTGCCTTTGAGACAGAGGGAAGGGATGGCGGCTACAGTTTAGTGTATTGTTTGGCACTTGTTTAATCAAGGAAAGAGACCAAGTTGAATCAGTTGAGTTGGGCAAGTTTTGTAGAATATCTGTTGTTCATTCTGTATGTTGGAAATTAAAAAAAGTTCTGGATGAACATTGACATTAAATCCCTCTTCTTGGTGATAGAGGGGTATATTCCACAAACAGCTGATAAGCGAAGTGCCTCATAAGGACATAGCTTAACTATTTAAATCACATCAAAATGTCGTCTTCTTTCTTTTTCTTTATCAATATGAGCAACATACTTCCATTGTTGTTGGTGTATGATAATCACTTTAGTTCACATAAGTACATTTGATGCTCTACTAATTTGTCGTAGTATCTACATTTTTGTTGCAAGAGTCTTCTTTTGTCCTCCAGTTTTTGTGTGGGAGAGGGGGGCACGGGAGTGTAGGTATGGGTTGCTGTACCGGTTCCCACAGAGCTTTTGTACTGAAACTATCCCGGTCAAATTCTAGATGTACCATTATTTTATCAAATGGTGATTTTCCTAGGCAGTAGCTACTCTCTTCCTGCCACCAGGAGTAAAAAAAAAAGNCATTTGGAAGGTGGTATAATTTGCAATAACTGCATCGAATTTTAAAGGACATAACTTAGTTGACTCAATTGCATATCCTTTTCAGGTTCTCGACCTCAATGTGGATCTAAGTGCTGCTAGTGCTGCCGAAGAATGAGAAATTCCTTACTGCTGTACTTGCACACTATGTGATGCTGAATCCTTTATGTGTCAACGAGATTCTCATGCTTTTGCTGTAGAAGTGGATTAATTTATAATGGGTTCTCTGTTATAACTGTTGTTAAAATGTTCTTTTCTTCTATTGAACAAACTTATGTAATGTTGAAATTAATCACGGTTCTTCAACTTGGGGGTGCACGTAGAGTTCAGGTGCTTAAAGTTGTTTTTGACTTCTGGCTCCTTGAAGTTATGGAATTTCTCTGAGTTGCTATAGTTTTCTGATTCAAGTGCACCTTTTTGTTTCTTATGGGTTTTAATGTTGCGGTAACTCATTATATACTTTTCGTGTTGCCCACGACAGATTGTACTAATAGTTATAAACCCAAAAATGTAAACGAGAGTGAATTGACCTTTTTCCATTGTTAATGCCCAAAAATGTCAGTCGCTTTCTTGTGATTGATATAGCGATATTAGTTTATACAATAAACTAATTAGAGGCTCAATGTTTAGTATCTAGAGCTCTAGACGTGTATTAGTTCCTTTTTTGGTCTAAATGGATATTCGGAGCAGGAAATACACATTAGCCTGGGAACAAAAATGTTTAGTGGTAAATCGTTAAACGTTAATACTGGTTTGCAGAAGTAGTGCAGGCTTTTGCCTATGGCAATCGGGACGTGGAGTTTGAAGGTCTTTATTTTCCTATAATTCAGCGGCAATGCGTCTGCTTGTTTGTGGTGCAGAACATAGGAAGGCATGGAATAATAATCCATATCTTGAGGGGAAAAAAAAATCTAGAAATTAAAAGGCATTGAAACATGCATGAAATAATTGAATTGATTAGGAAAGTTATTCAAAACGTCTCTGATCATTCTTTACAATTTTAACAGCTTTGAAAGATGGGAGAAATGTTAGCTTAATTTAGTTTTGAGTTGAGTTGGTTGGTCGCGGGCCGGGCATTGCCTTCTTCCATTGCAGATTCTTGTATTTCTACTTGTGATAATTGCACAGCCATAGGAGAAGGGGATGATTCTTTATGTCCAACTTGGCTGGAGCCATTGGCAGCTCTTCTTTTAGCCTTCTTAGCCCAGAAAACAAGCCCGTCTTGTATATGTTCGTCGAATATTTCTTTCTTGAAGGAACTTCCCATCTGCATCAATAGTACATTAGGAGAAGTTATAAGTAAAACAATCAGACAAACCAAATAGTAAATATATGGTCGAGGATCGATCACCTGTGTGACAATTGCATACAGCGGCAGAGTACTATAACTGCAAAGGAATTGAACAAACACCCTGCAATAGGACACAATTCAACCTTTACTTCCAAATGCTGCATATAGGGATGGCAAGAGGGGCTATGCTTAATCAATAATTATAGCATACAGTGGTGTGGATGCTTTAATGGTAAGACAAGTTGGACTCAGATAGTCAGATAGATGTGAATCGTAAGCTACTTAAAACTTTACAATATTTGTACCAAATAAATGAATACATGACATGTGTCCTGCGTATACGCTTTTTTTCACTTGACCGGTTAGATGATATGTATTCTCTCTTTAATTTATGACTCTCGTGGCTAAATTGCTTCGTCTGGTTTAAACACCGGATGCGAGTAAGCATTTTTCTTCATGTCCACTAGGTGTGGAGTAGTGAACTTACCCTATGACAAGTCTTGGGATGATATAACCAACTTGTCCCATAATGCAGGAGTTAAAATGATATTGAGCCTGTCAATGAAAAGAACGCGATATTCTCAACTATAAAATAAAAAAAGGAATAGAAAACACCTAAAGCAATAGTTACATTAAGAGTTTAATGTTTTGGTCTTAAGATTACCCAAATCCAGAAGAAAAATGCAATCTCAAAGGAGTTCTGGAAAAGGATGATATGAATGAGGAGTAAGACGAGTCGCGGCCTATGAAACCAGAAGTGGTCATCTGATGGCTTCACAACCAAATCTCCTTCAACTGCTACATGCTTTGCTGCAACCTCTCCAGCAAGTTGAGTTATTACATGCTCCAGTTTAGTCCCCACAGCTAGCAAAAGCTGCATAATACACGTATAATATTTCTATCTTTTAGGATTTTCTGAGGAGAAGGATATCGAAAACAACATCTTTTGAACAATTGAATCTGAGGACTATTCATATTCTAAGAATGGTGACCAATAACAACGATTTTTAAAGCTATATATATATATATATTGCCATGAAATATGAGCAGAGTCCTACTATATGGTTAATACTAAGAGTTTATTTCACAAATTTCTTGTCCTTCTATTAACTCTTGAACATTGGACAGATTGTAAAGTGAGAAAGAGATTAAACAAATGAATCCAGTAGTTCAAAGAGATTAGTAGTTTTTAATAATACTAGAAATTACTTACGCCAAAGGGAACAAATGCTATCCAAAAGTATGCATGCCAGCCTGAAAATAGAAAGTGAGAGAGAATAAGAAACAGATAGATGGGAGAAAAGGAGTGATGATTCAAACATAAGCTGTTGTTCTTGGCTAAAAATTATATGCACTTATGATAATCAAGAAAAAGGGATGAAACAGTGAATGACATAGCTCACCATGAACATTTAGCAATAGGAACAAGACCACAAATACCCAAAGATACCAGCTGCACAAGCAAATGCAAATTTTCAGTTGTAAATTAAAAGGAACTAAGAGCTTGTTTGACGTAGCTGATTAAAAGTAGCTAATAAGCTGAAGTACTGAAAAACAATTTCAAGTGTTGATGCTATATATAAAAAAGCGGTTACGTGTTTGGATAGAAGTACAGAACCCGACAATAAGTTAAGTAAATGAAATGTTGGTCACTGAGGAAACACACGGGTAACCTCGAAGAGGAGCTTTCAAGTCGCCAATACAAAAGATGGGAAATTTTTACTTGATTATGGAAATTATGTTATGCTCATATATATTTCAAAATCTGTGATCAATAGCATCAGCTTGACTAATACATGCGTACTTGTTTTCTTTCTATTTTGTTCACTGGTGTAACTCACCTAATCCCAACAACTTTCTTGAAATCAGCTTCAAGAACACGTATCATATACTTGTGAAAATTGAACTTCGGACTCCCCTTGCAATGAGTCTGAGGTAGTAATTCAGCAAAAGTTGAGCGTCACGAAATAAGCAAACATACTAAAACCAGTATAATGTGTGGTTAATGTAAACGTACCATAATGAAGCCGAGCCTCAAAGTTGTATAATCTGATTTTGTGACAGATCCAAAAAATTGCTTGACGAACGAATGCTGAGAATCAAGAACCAAAATAGAAATTTATTAAAACAGACCTAAAATATTGACAATGTACAGAAGCAGAATCTGAAATGTGCAGCTTGCTGAAATACACAACTGGTCATGTTCCTGAGCTGGTGATATACTAAAGATTTAACTTATATACACTAACAGTGTAAAATATTTTTAGACGATCACCATAATTTAACCTGCTGTAGAAAAGTAAGAATTTGCTTTTGCTTCATACCAACTAGTAATTCAAGGTCTTGGTTACCTCCAAAAATAAGAATGTTTCTGTCCACAAGTAGTTTAATTACCATACTTGAGTAATAAGACATTGAATATACACACAGACACATACACATCATCACCACATATATATATATAGAATTGAAAATAAGCATAAAAGAAAGAAGACTTCTCCACTTACCAGCCAACTTAATAAAGTTGATCTTTTACCAAAACCTAGAAACCGTCCCTTGACAAAATCATGATCTTGGACATGTGTAACTTTAGAGCGAATTACTGCAGTCACAATATATCCTCATTAGAATGATGGAAAGAGAAGTTACTCTAGGCTGATATTGTTTCATTGTGATGAATACACTATTAGCGCAATTTAACTGGTCGTAACAGGTTGTTACTATATTTTCCTGGGCTTGCTCCGAATAGTCAACTGTTGTTGTAGGTCGACTTAACGTGATGGTGTTAAAAATCAATATACTATCAATGCATAGAACTTAAACTCGTGAGTTGTGAGTACTCATGCAAACTTTGTATCCAGTTTAGTTCAAAGGGAACTATACTACAAAGGGCAGCCCGGTCCACTAAGCTCCCGTTATACGCAGGGCTCGGGGAAGGGCCGGACCACAAGGGTCTATTGTACACTACCTTATCCTGCATTTCTGCAAGAGACTGTTTCCACGGCTCGAACACGTAACCTCCTGGTCACATGGCAACAACTTTACCGGTTATGCGAAAGTTCCTCAAAGGGAACTATACTTGCAAGAAACATTTCAACAATAGGAAGGAGACATGCAAACATCAGCAGGCAATAGGCATTACCTTCTTCTGGATCATATTCCTCTTTCTGGATAGAATCCTCCCAAGATTTCCACTGACGTATCTGTGTAAATAGAGCAAAGGTCATTTGTACAAGTAAAAAACAAATGGAGAGGATGTAACTAAGCTGCATAATGAATTCAGAAAACTAAATCAAGATGATTAAGAACTTACCTTTATACCTCCAAATAAAATTGTAAGAGCTGAAAAAGTAACATGTGAAACAGCCAGCACAAAGATAAATGTATGGAGATGATGCAATGCTGTGAGAGATAGCAAAGGTGCCTTGTCCTGTTAAGATCCAAAAAAGAAAGAGTTAGAAATTCAGAGTTGCCATTCTAAAATCTGAAATATCAACCAGAAAAATGACACATCAAAGGCATATGATCAGAAACATCAGTATTGTGTCTTGAAAGTATCCAATTGCAAGAAATTTTTACCAATCTTGATTGGCAAATTAGTTTCTCTTTTTGTTTGCTTTTTTCTTTTTTCACAATTCGGGCGTTTGGAAACGAATACAAGGTTCAAGTTAGTATTTTAGTTGAAGGGAAGTGTGTTGGGATTTTAAGCATATGATATGCTTAAAATAGGGTGAATGAGAAATGGAGGGAAATAAATTTTTTAAGTGAAATTTTAAGTTTGTCCCATTGTCAAAGGGACATAGTCCCATATTGGAAGAGGAAGAGTTTTTTTATGGGTATATAAGCAATTGCTCTTCTTCTAGCTCTTAAAGAGTTTGAGAAGAAGGCAAGCCTCGCGTCGTCGTTGTCGCTCAAATTCGGTCGATTGATTGATTAATTTTTTGGATCAAATTTATTTGTTAATAGTAAAATAATAATAGAAAATAGAATATTAATATTAAAATAAATATTCCTTCTTTATTTTCCCTCTCTATTGTTGAGTAAATAGTCATTTATGTTGTGGCCGTTTTGCATAAATAACCATTCTGAAGAGTTGCACCTCTTCAGATTTCAGTC